TTATTGCTGGTCTTCATCTCAAAGTGAAATTAATGACCTGAGAATACCTGAACAGCCTCGTAAGTAAGGAAGTATTTCTCAATTCTAAATGTTTCTACTATCACTATGCCTAAACTCAATTTGTGGTAATATATTTTAGAACACTATGAAGTTCACAATTTAGTGTACTATAGAACGCCAGGACATTGACCCAATCTCCGTACAGCGCTCGTTTCCGTTCCGTATACTCAGTACACTACACTACATATTTAGTGTAGTGATACGAAGTAGTTAAGGAAAGGATGTGAGCTCTGCGCTGGAGATTGGACATTGACCATGATCACCAGTGTCAAAAAACAATTTTGATGATAGCTTATGGAACGATAAAAAAACCCAGAGTGATTAAGATTATAACACAAAGTTGACTGCTGTACTCCTATTTTTGACATTTTTAGCTAAAATGTCTGTTTGTTTTGTTCACACATTGTTGTCAATATAATGGAATTTTATGCGACTGTCTTACGAGTGAGAGGTTTGGCTAGCTATAAAACCATGTTTAATCCACCGTTTTCTACATAAGAAAATGCCAGTACCAAGTCAGGAATATGACAGTTGTTATCCATTCGTTTGATTTGTTTGAGCTTTTGATTTTGCCATTTGAATAGGGGCTTTCCGTTTTGAATTTTCCTCGGAGTTCGGTATTTTTGTTATTTTACTTTTTAATCAATATTTTTTATGAATTGGGGATCAATGACTTAGTTTTGACATAATTTACTTGACCTTCATGCCTTGTCGAGATATTGTAACAGATTGTCTTAACCTCGACAAACCAGACTATCACGTTTCATTAATGTGACGTAAATTCTCAATTTCGCTTGTTTACAAATAGTTCGTGTTTTTTTTAGGTTTGTTTTATCGGTATTATATTCTGATGTATTTGTAAAATACGTCAATACTGCTGTTATTTTCAAAGATGACATTCCGGTAATCCGAGTGATCAAACAAATATTCCTTATATCTTAAAAAAACAAACAGATACTAACCCGTGTAAGTGCATGCATTAAGGACATTTATGACTACAGAGTACTGAGACAACATCTTTTTATACGTGGTATGTCGTTGTGAAAATGGTATGGGTGCAGCAATACATGTTGCGAGGCCACTGGAAATTTGAAGCAACCTACACACACACTTGTCTATTGTTTCCGACTGTTTGTGCATGGCCCTCTAGAGATCTTTTGTATATTTTGTCGTTGTTTTGGTGTCTTAGTGACATTTATCTTACATCTCCTTTTAATTATGTTCTCATTTTACGTCCTATATTCCATCCAATGTTAACGTTGTTTTCAAAGTTCAAAATACAATTATATCATTTTTTCAGCGAATCAAAAACATATAGACAACATCGCATGACTGCACTGTTTCTAAGGCGGACTAATTAGAATTTAGAATCTCAGAGCAGACGATGTAACTTGTCACATTAGATGTGTTGCTATTTACTTTTCGTTCGTGCAAACTACAGAAATAGCCTTAATACGAGTGTATGTTTTAGGACCTAAATACGACAGAAACAATTATCATAGTTCTATTGGCATTTGTTTTATTGAAGGGTATTACTTTTTATATCCGCACTGCGTGTCTTTCATACTCGGCACCCTTCCACTATTACCATACTAGAAAAAAAAATGGCTTCAATCTTTGATATTCGGCTTTATTATAAGCCGTCATCTAATGGTCTTTACAATGTTTCCATTAACAATAAACTCGAAATGAGTGAACACAAATAAGATAAAGAGCATACTTTTTAAGATAGATCGTCATTACCGCTTAAAATCAGATTAATTCTTTTCGGAGAGTATTTTGTACAGACACTATAGAGTATGCACACATGTATCGTGGAATATTTTTTTATATAAGACATTAGTTCCTGTTTATCACCAAAATAAATATTATTTAGATACGATGGATAGCATGGACCATCTTCGAACCATCAAGTAGTAAATTGAAAATTTATTGTAATTTTTAAACAAATTTTATCAGAGAAACAGTAATGTAGGTATTGCTAGATGGATAGCATGGACCATCTTCGAACCATCAAGTAGTAAATTGAAAATTTATTGTAATTTTTAAACAAATTTATCAGAGAAACAGTAATGTAGGTATTGATAGATGTCGTTATCTAAAATTGCTAGTAAAGGAGAGAGTTTATTAAATCTTCAATCTTGTAATTCAATGCAGCGAATACTGCATAAACATACTGTTGTTTTCATTTCTAGCGTAGTTTTGTGAGCAAAATGGGATACTTCATGACCCTCCCTTTTCCTTTGCTCATTTGTCATGATTAACGATCACCTTTTAATGGAATATCGCAGACGGATTGAAAGCAAACGTTGATATTGTCCCTAAATTCAATCAATTCTATTTATATAGGAGATAAATTGAACTTTGCACTTTTTACTTCCTTTCTGTGTGCACACTCGTAAAGGTAATCTGAATATATTTATGTAATTTTTATCACTGTGTTGAACCTGTATTGTCACATTTATTCAAAAATTGTTCTTACCTAAGGCACGAAAGACATGCAAGAGTTGCATTGATTCCTCAGATTTCGGTTTGCTGTGTTTTCATGGTTATACTACAATGACAAAACAATGAATGAGGCCCTTTTAATGTATTTTTATTAACTAATATTATTATATCAATAGAGATCAAAACTCAGCAATCTTGTTGAATTCTACTGTTTCAAATCTTCAAAATCTTGGTGAGACGTTAAACATTTGCAACCGGAAGTGATTTATATTGTGTCGGCCCTTGTTTCTGTATTGCATGTTTGCGATGGGTTGAAAAGAAATGTTAATATATACAGGCGAACGTGATGAGTGTGTAACACACTAATCTAGCTGTATTAGGAATGATTAGATGATACATGTATCAGTAAATAATGGGAACTTTCCCTCGTGGACAATTAAATGAAAAACAAAGATGAACGTTTCAGATTTCTGTTCTGTTACTTCATTATATATGTGTTCATGATGGCTTTTATGCGCGTTTATATTGTGATGTACCTAAATAAAATAATCAAACTGAGCGTAGTGAAAAAGAGATGTTTCAAAGTGTGAATGAACGTTGCAAAATTTATAATGTCCGAAAGGGCTCTGCAATTACGAAAATAAAAAATTTGAATTGGAGTATGTATGCATTTTGTAGTCTGTTTGGGACAATAATTACCTTATTGTCATTATTCACGTGGCCAGACATTGGATTCAAGAATCGGAAACTCGTTTCAATGATAGTGCGCATTCATTTCATTGAATTGTAGGCAGTTATTGGACACGCTTATTAAGAAGTAGTTCCAGTAAGGGAACAAACATTTGATGTATTTTAGGGTTGGGGGTTGGGGGTCGGCAGATGAAAAGAATAAGCATACGTAGCAACAGATACAAATTAATAGTCAATCAGCAGAAAATCCTCCTGCTCCCCCTGGAATATCAAATGGTTGTCTCCTAACCAGTGACTGTCAATAGTTCGAGTTTTTCATGATATATTGCCTTATGTGCGTAATCATGATTACTGTCGTAACATTTTTTAAAACACTTAATTCCAGCCAAAACACAGAAGTGAGAAGAGGCAAGTCTGTAATGGATAATGAAAATAGGTTGTCTTGTCGGTTATTAAGTTCGACTAAATAATTCTCAGATCAACGTATGTAAATACATGTTCTACATAAAGGTAAATAGATCCGAGTGATGAGTCTTCAAGTTTTCAATCATGCAATACTTTTCCAACAGTTGAAACGATCATGACAATGTAGAGGATCAATTCAATGTTGTCTTTCATTGTCTTTTAAATAAAAATATAATGTCTCTAAAAGACTTTGAATATGATATTGAAATTTTGGGAAAATAAGTTTCGCAATAAATCAAACAAATTTATTTAAATTTGAACTTTATAACTGAATGCTTGTATCTAAGGGATTCAAGCTTTGCCGCAATAAATATGTGTTTTCTTGCAATGACTAAATAAATTTATATAAAACAACGAAAATTAAGTTAATTAAAATCATCCATGTATATTTTTTGTATTTTGTTTTTAATCCTATGGATCTTGTATAAGATTTCATAACAAAAATGTGATTTCCAGTTCGTGAACGGATAGCAAAAAGATCGCAAGGGCTAAAAAAGAAAAAGACAAACAGACAAACAATAGTAAAAAAAAAACCACCACATAGAAAACTAAAGACTGAGACACGAATCCCACCAAAATCTGGGGGTGATCTCAAATGCGGTCTTCTACTTTAGAAGTTGGCTTGTGTTTCCTATCATGATTTCCTTGATAGAGGATTGCTGCTCACAAGGAAGCTATTAAACCAAGTGTTCCAAATGGTGAAGTTGAAATCATCCCTTCGTTAATTTTACGGACGCCATCACGAGTCGGTTGACCGTTATGGAATAACCGTTTCACAGATGATATCGGATATGTTCCTTATGTCGTAACTACAATACCGTTCCCTTTTAACGAATGTGACTTACCGAATTAGACTATTTACCGGATTTGTAATAACATAAGCAACGACGGGTGCCACATGTGGAGCAGGATCTGCTTACCCTTCCGGAGCACCTGAGATCACCCCATGTTTTTGGTGGGGTTCGTGTTGCTTAGTCTTTAGTTTTCTATGTTGTGTCATCTGTACTATTATTTGTCTGTTTGTCTTTTTATTTTTGGCCATGGCATTGTCAGTTTGTTTTCGATCTATGAGTTTGACTGTCCCTCTGGTATCTTTCGTCCCTCTTTTAGACACAAGCTCTTCAGCACCCGAATGTAGAAAAGTTTGAATATATTTATCAAAGAATACAATAAAAATATCAACGGACCCAACAATTAAGATATATATGTTTCAAAAATCAATTAATGTGCACTCTTATTTTCCTGGTTAATTGTCATTTTCAACGATCAGCTTTCACAATAATCCCAAACGGATTAAAAGCATTTTGAAATGGTCCCCGATTTTGATCAATTTATCTATTTATATCAGTTTACAAATGAACTTTGGACTTAATACTTCCTTTCTCTACAGTCGGACAGGTAATTTATATTATTTTGTAAAAATTGTGTTTACTGTTTAAACCTGCCCCTTTTCTGTAGTGTCCATTAGTCAGGGAATGCAGTCTGTATGAAGCCTCGTCATAACAATGGAAAACAAATGAATGTGTTTTCACTTTTAAAAATACTCTAAGTACAGACAAACCCGTTCACCTGTTAAAATTGTAAGACCTAGCAGCGGCTAAATATATAAAAGTCAAAGGCGGTTCGTTTTCCTATTCAGTAACACTTCTAAAATTATCAATTGTTGCATATATTTCTATTGATCTTCTTTTACTTGAACAATCAATAAAATACAATACCACTGATATTTTGGTTATTTTGATAACTTCTGTAGGAATGAGAAATCCAGTAAAGTGTTCAACTTTCTAAAACACAAAATGTAATTGCCTTTAATATATCTAAGTGTTGCTAGGGTTAAAAACTTAGCTTGCACGGATAGGTCTGTACACATACACAGAGTTAGTTATGTAGGGTATGGAGCTATTATTGTTTAATATATGAGATGAACCTCAATATCAGTAATGTTCTGACTGATAAATGGTGTGTTTTCTGGTCTTTTGGTCGGGTTGTTGTCTCTTTGACACATTCGTTGTTTACATTCTCAATTTTATTACTGAAATCAAGATAATTTCTCGTTTAAGAAAAAGACATTTTGTTACTTGTGGAATATTGAATAAAAAATTATAAAAGTTTCGAAATAATTTTTGTTATTTATCTATCTCTGATTTATATAATTCGAATTAAATTCTTCTTAGTGTCATTATTTACAGCGCAAGACATGAGATTCAAAAGCGAACACCCGTTTCAATAGACGATTTTAATATTACAAATTTTTGACTGTGGAGTATATAATTTTACGATATGTTACCTATTCTGTGGTATAACATTCTGATACTCGGTAAAGTAAGAGCAACTGACAGAAGTAAAATAATTATGGGAAAATTAATTGTTTCCGATGGTTTCGTTGTGTATAGAAATGGTATATAAGGTCTGAACTTGAAGCATATGTGAATAAAATCACCTTCAAACATCAGGCTTACAATCGTCGTTTCAGTTTTTTTATGTGACAAGACCCCTTCTACTTTGATGCCATCATATATACATCCGAACAAAATATAAAATGTCCAACCTTAGGGGAAATAATTGTTACAGAAATTATTAAAATCCAAAGTCAGTATTATAGCGCAAGGACAACGATGACAAACCTTAGAGGAATTTAAGTAATATGACAATTGCTTATTAATAGACCTATCATTGACGATCGATTTTGATTTGAGCAATTACAATTTAGGAAAATATACTGTTCCCTGAATACACTTTTTCTCAATTCAGCGCAACTTTTCAATTTAAACATTAAAACTTCGAATAATATTCATAGAGATATTTTTGTTTTAAAATGTGAGTTGATCTATGCATTGCAGTTCTATATCATTTTAGTGTGAGATCTTTTATTTCCTCTAGCTCAAGCTGGACAGGGATTCTTTGCAAGTGAAAGGACCTGTATAAGCCGGATTTGACTCCATATACAGTTATTGGACGACCTTTTAATTTCGACGTTCATAACTAGTTTCTATCCCACCATTTATCAATTATCTAGTTTTCACATTATTTATTATCTGTATAAACATGAACATGGTTTTAATTAGTTACCTCTTGGACGAGTTTGACCGACAAATAAAGGCAACAGTAGTATACCGGTGTTCAAAAGTCATAAATCGATTGAGAGAAAACAAATCCGGGATACAAACTAAAACCAAGGGAAACACATCAACTATAAGATGAAAACAAATGAACAACAGGAACACTGAACGGCAACATAAACAAATGCCAACATACATAGAAACGAACGATTTGATAACAACTGTCATTTTCCTGACTTGGTACAGGACATTTTAAAGGAAAATGGTGGGTTGAACCTGGTTTAATGTCTAGCTAAACCTCCCGCTTTATGACAATGTTAAAAAATATCGCTAAAATGACAATACTACGCGACAGAAATACAGCACAAACACCCGTAAGAACATTCATCACAGAGAAACGCACAAACAAATAATATAATAGTCGACACAACGTGCAAACCGCAGAACAACAACGGACATAGTCAATCAACGACAGACACCACAGGATATCAAAAACAGTGACGAGCTTACGTAACTAACATGCAATCTCGAACTTTATACAATTATTTTCACATTACTCGTCCAAACAATTTTATGACAATGATGGTATTGAAAGGCAATTTTATAATTATTTGGACTACAAATGATAAGACATAACACATTATTCAACCGAAGTCTGTATACATATTATGACAATGTTAAAAAATTATCGCTAAAATGACAATACTACGCGACAGAAATACAGCACAAACACCCGTAAGAACATTCATCACAGAGAAACGCACACACAAATAATATAATAGTCGACATAACGTGCAAACCGCAGAACAACAACGGACATAGTCAATCAACGACAGACACCACAGGATATCAAAAACAGTGACGAGCTTACGTAACTAACATGCAATCTCGAACTTTATACAATTATTTTCACATTACTCGTCCAAACAATTTTTATGACAATGATGGTATTGAAAGGCAATTTTATAATTATTTGGACTACAAACGATAAGACATAAGACATTATTCAACCGAAGTCTGTATACATATGTTCTACGTTAAGGGAAAAAGTCCCCATAAAAACTAACAAAACCAAAAGCACTCGACTCTTCAAACCAACAGAACGACTGTACTTGGTACAGACATTTCCTGAAGACAATGGTGGATGAAACCTGCTTTTATAGCTAGCTTAACCTCTATCTTGTATGAAAGCGGTACTGATATTAAATGACGACAATGTGTCCTGAAATATAAAATATAAGACATTATTGACCCATGATTTGAACTATTTTAATTGTCAAAGATGTGATTTATTCAACAGTCATTCGCATGAAATTTCGTTGATTTTGCTTTAAAGAATTTATCACCTGTGTTTCAGATGGCTGCCTCAGATGTTATACTGTGTGGTATCTGTGTTGCTCAGCATGTTTCACAAGTTGCTGATTACTGGTGCCCTGAATGTGATGAAGGTCTGTGTTCGTCCTGTAAAAATTATCACGGCGTGTCAAAAGCCTCGAGGCAACATGGAATTATTTCTATCGACCACTACAAGAAACTTCCGGCTGAGATATGTAAAATTGAACAGAACTGTACAGAGCACGACAAGAAATTCCAAATATTTTGTCCAGGTCATGACAAACTTTGTTGTATAATTTGCATATTCGAAAAACACAAAGAGTGCACTGGAATGTTTATAATTGACGAAGCCATTAAGTCATCAAGATCTTCCACTTTGTTTGGCAGCTTGGAGGAGTCTCTAAAAGATATTCAAGAAAACATTGAAAGAGTAGTAAAGGACCGGAAAGCCAATCTTGCTGACATAAAACAACAGCATTTTAAAAGTTTAAATGATATAAAAGAAACAAGACAAAAATTAAATTCCCGCTTAGATGAGTTAGAGAAAAACATAATAGACGATTTGAATTCAACTGAAGCACAACTTAAACTCAAGATTGAAACCCTCCTTAATAAGTTATCCACAAAAATGAAAACAATTGAGCTTTTGAAGATAAATCTGATGTCCGTCAAACAACACGGATCCGATCTGCAGGCTTTCATTGGCAGTAAAATGCTAGAAAAAGACGTCACTAAGGAAGTAAATTACGTACGAAACATATCGGAAGATGATGGATTTAGCCAATTGGGATTGAAATGCCAGATAGACGATAAGATTACAGACATATTATCAAAAATTATTGCATTTGGATCCATAGTAATTGAAAAAAGTCAGTCGTCAATCGTCATTGGCGTCGGTCAAGAAAAGCAGGCTCAGATTTTTACGGCTGTACCACCCCGTAGTAGATCGATTGATGATATTACTGCTTCATTGATAGGGGAATTCGAGGTTCAAACAAGAAAAAGAAACTCGTCTATAACAGGCCTATCTGTATTCCCTGACGGAAGGATAATATTTTCGGACTGGCGAAATGACAATAGATTAATTATCGTTCATAGTGATGGAAATTTAGACACTGAAATATCTGTTTCACCTCTACAACCGTTTGATGTTACATGCATCGATGACAAAACGGTAGCTGTTACAACGTTATATAACAATACAATAGTCATTGTAGACACGGAGAACAAACAAGTAACCAATAAAATCAAAACAGGCACATCTCGAGGTATAACAAACAGACAAGGACAACTCTTATACTGTGAAGTAGGGAAAGGAATCGCAGCGTTAAACGTAGCAAACAATAAAGTAATTGCTACAGTGGAAGATAACACCTTAGTGAATTTTTGGAGTTATATTACAACCTCGGGAGAGAACATTTACTATACAGGTTGTGGTTCTACTGTCAAATGCTACAGTGTAAGGGGAGAGAAACGTTGGGAATATAAGGATCAATCAATTCTGAGTGATCCAACTGGAATAGCTGTTGATCAACACGGCATCGTATACGTGATTTCGAATAGAGACAAATGTGTCGTGTTGATATCGGCAGATGGTAAAAATGGCAGAACATTACCAATCACTGCGAAGGATGAAGTTCATTATGCATACGGAATTTATTTTCATATCAACAAACTGTATGTTGTATTGAACTCTGGAGTCCTCCTCAAATTTGACATTGCATAATAAATATTCAAGGTTATATTTAGTTGTGAAAATTTTTATGAAAAGATGTACATAGATAAATAAAATCGTATAATATAAAACATAGATTAATAAAATCGTATAATAAAAGCAAAATGAGGATGTTAAATTTTATGTATGCCTTTTTGTGCTTCTTCGTTACATTTGTTTGTTTTTATAGTGATTAAGATGATAACACAGTGTTGACTGCTGTACCCCTATTTTTGACATTTTTACCTATTGTGTCTGTTTGTTTTGTTCACGCATCGTTGTCAATATAATCGAATTTGATGCGACTGTCATACAAGTGAGAGGTTTAGCTAGCTTTATAACCAGGTTCAATCCACCATTTTCTACATAAGAAAATGCCTGTACCAAGTTAGGAATATGACAGTTGTTATCCATTCGTTTGATGTGTTTGTTTTTTGATTTTGCCATTTGATTGGGGACTTTCCTTTTTGAATTTTCCTCGGAGTTCAGTATTTTTGTGATTTTACTTTTTATAGCCATTATGTGCTTAGGTGATAGACACTCCGTCTTTAATATTTTGTTTGCAATAATTGATACCTGTTTACAATCTCGGCTTAGGGTTTGGAAAACACAGAAAACGTAAATAAGACGTCAAAATATGTTTATTTTTCCAACTAGTCCCTTTTCCAATGGTGTCAAGTCCGGGGAGGGGTCGCACTTTCATTTATATAAATACATATATGATAATATATAGTATGATTTTGAATGTAGGGGAATAAAAATAGTTCGTTAATAAAGACTGTCCTAAAATTAGACCCATACAGAATTTCATCAAACATCATACATCTGACACAGGATTTATTAAGATGTTTTGACGTTTTTCGAATTGCTGGCACGGTATTTTATATAGAAACTAGAAATTTCTTTACTGATTGATATCAATATGCTGACATTTAGCAGTTTGATTGTTCCTCTGGTATCTTTCGTTACTCTTTTAGCAAACAATCCAGTCAGTGCATTCAGCTACAGACGTCATTGGTGTTTTAGTAACCCCCTTTCACTTCAAATGCTGGTTATCTCTGGTCATTTAAACGTTACAACACATTATATACCGTACTGGTAGCTTGATTTTCTTTTAAATAGAACGTTGTTTCATAATGTGGTTTTGTCTTTTTCCCATATACAAATGTACCACATTATGATTCTTTGATAAGTTGATTCTAATTGTGTTCTTTAGTGGATGATAGGATTGGTCACTAGAATTGGTCGCTAGCTTGAGTCTGGTGGGATGTTTGTTTAATATTGAAAAAAAGCGACGGATAGGTTTCGCAAAAATAAGAACTCGCTTTTGTATATAACCTTTCCTGATATTGCTATAATATATCTGCGCAAAATTTTCTGAATTTGTAGAAATTGACAAATTCTTAAAATAGAGATTATCAGTAAAATATTTCTGGTTGACAAATCTTGATATATCTATACATCCAAATATGTGACAACTTTATGCTATACATTCTCCATCTGATATCATTCGGTAATACCGAATGACTTTCTAAATGAAATGTAGCATTCATGATGACACGAGCTTGCACAATAAAGTTCACAGGTAAAATAAAAGAAAACTTGATAGAAATCGTGTTTTTCATGATCCTAGCAAAAAAATAAACACAAAAACATACAAAATGTACTTCGGTCAACCCTATAAATTTACAAGAAGCATTCAATCTTAATTAACAACCAACAAAATACAATTCAAACATAAAGATGTGCCAAAAGACAACCACTGATAAGGTTTATGACTGTCAGATTAAAATAATCAGCATAACACTGTGTTGCAAAGTTCAGTTTGTTACATGTATCAGGACTTTCATTATTTAATTATAATTTAATTTTATTCAAGTTGTCTTGTGATTGTACTAACTAAAGACTCAGAAATCAACCAATCAAAATACTTGATTGGCGATTCGACTAAATAAGTAGTGTTAGGACATAACATTGAGAATGGAAATGGAGAATGTGTCAAAGTGACAACAACCCTACCAAAGAGCAGAAAACAGCCCAGGGCCAACAATGGGTCTTCAACACAGCGAGAAAATCCCGCACCCAGAGGTGGGCTTCAAATAGATTAAATACCATTTTATAATGATCAAACTGTGTTTAATGAAGAATATTTCATACGAATTGATCACAATTTACAATTGAACAATGTATCCTCCATTTTTACTAATTTTATAAAGCCCTATTTCATTTACAACAGGCGTGTGATGTGACGTTGGTTCATACAAAAACATTTTACCAGTCGACATAAATTTCAAGTCACCCTGGACTGGACCTGACTTTTGACGTGTAATTCTTTTGATGTCATTGTGTGTATTGGATTATCGGGTATTCCGTTACACAATACATCTATATTTCCGAAACGAATTGACGTGCAGTTAGATTGGATTTGTATGAATGCCAGTCAAATCGACAGAGATTAAATGAAAAAGTTGATTAAAATCAAAAATACAGGTGTGACTAACGGCATTTAAGGTGAAAAAGTCTTCGAATAAAGGTAGGCAAATTGACATTTTGTATTTTATGCGAAAAAAAAACTCCTGTTTTATTAGGATAAATTAAATGACAAAAACAAGGCAAATTTTTTTTTTACTCTTGTTTCATAATTAATGCGACAAGTCTTACTATACTAGTCTACTAAAATTTCTGCTAACTCGTCCACTGGACTAATGATTAAGTTAATTTACTGAAACTATTACATTTAACCTACTACAAAACTATCTTTTTGTATACTTATCTTATTATTACTTGCAGAATATGACAACAGATTCACACACATAAAATACATTGAAACATGTAAATTGGTGGAATATTCGACTGATTTTTGTTTGCTTAATATCCAGTGGCAAATATTTCATGCATACAAAGGACGAGAACAATTCAACAATTGAATGAAGGGTCAAAAATTAGTTTTGCCATTGGAAAATAATGTTAGTTGGGTAGGGGAAGTAATCCCCCTTGCAACAGCCCACATACTGACCCCCAAATAGTTTTCGCAAGGGTACTTTAACGTGCATAGAGCGTGATACTACTCAAAGTCCAAGTTTAAAGTTTTATCTAAAGCTGATGTGCATAATTTACAAATAACATACGACAAGAACTGACGAGCATTTGAATCGACAACACGCCGCATTGGATTAAACGTCCGCCTTCTAACCGGACGTGGCTGCGTATGAATTCATCCCACACAACCAAACGAACACACCACTTGGTAAGGGTTTAACTCTCACTCATAACTCATGGACATTGCTATACACCAGTCAGCTTTGGGATTCATGTAGATGGCACAATAATTAAAAAAACTTTAATGTTTGAGTTTAAATTTCTATGCACCCTCGACTGTTTAATTTGAAATATTTTATAAAAAAAAAATCTCAGAACAAAGAAATAAAAAGAAGGAAACACATGTTTATGAATTCATTAACATATACAAATATCTGTGAAACATTGCCAACGCTTAAGAATGTGTAGAGCTATTTAGCCCAGGCCGCATATTGCACTATGGGTCCTTTAGATGATCCAATAAGAATATCGATTTAATTGCCAAAGGTACGGGAAGCATTTGTTGGAATCAATTTACATTTCCGTACTTTGACAAAGTCTATTTCTATACAGTAGTTTCAAACCACAGACGATTCTTAACAAAAATGAGTTAGTAGTAAAAAGATAATTCTATATTTCAGTTTCTAAATGATCGTAACATTTAGCTTCAGGATCATCTTCTGAAGGATTATTATATATTTTTTCAGATTTTCCAATGACATGTGTAAGTCACTGCCACCATTGTAAAACCTGATTCGTTCAATACTTCTAATAAGGTTTAAATTTATGTACTTCCACTTAAAACTGAATAATTGTGATTATTCTTTGTTACTTACACAGGATTTTAACTATATGTGAGATTATTGCCATTTTCATAAGGATAATCAAGAGGTAATATTAAGATAAGTATACCAAACAAAATAATCTATTGGTATCTTTTTGATTCTTGATGAAATTGTAAAGAATAGATTACCAAATAATTAGAGAAATGCACAAGAGCAGATTACCGTGGTTTGTGAAGTGTTACTTCCTGAAACAATAAGGAATCGATTAAGTAGCAATAGCTGATTATTATAGTCAAGTTTTCGGGTTGACACTGAATATATTAGGATATTAGTCAGACTTGTCACTGCAAAACAATGAAACGAGAGTAAATTTAAAATTGCAAACCTGAAGAGCGGTTTGTATTATTTTCGTAGATTTTATGTTTTAAGTTTTCGGATCTTTATCGTCATGCTTTAGGTTGTAATTTTATAATATGTTATATAAATGCCACAGGCGCTTCGAGAATGGACCCCACCCCTTTTATTTTAAATAATTGTTTATATGTTTTAACCTATCTTTTTTTTATTATATGTGTACTTTCCTTATTCATACGATATTACAATAACAGAGTTTTTTTAGTGGAAAATAAAAATAGAGGTACATCATGTATAAAAAACGGTTATTGTACATTGTGATGTCGCATGGATAAAAGCAAGAACAATTTACGTACTAAGTGAAAAAGGTTAAAATACTAAAGAAAGTTAACAAGATAGAAATTAAAACCATAACAATTTTTTTGAAAAAAGGCCTATGAGAACTATATTGAACTTTTTGTTGCGAGTTTAGATTGTTCTGTCGAGTGTATATGAACACATTGTCAATCAGGTACGTAACTACAATAGAAACACTTCCCATCTTATCGTTGACACATTCAATCGTATCGTTGACACATCCAGTCGTATCATTGTTATACTTATTCCCTGTGAATTTGATATTGCAACGGTATTTTTTACCTCGTGGAATTTGTTAAAAGAAAATGTCAAGCACTTATTTTTACTTCCAGTTTAAACTGCATGAACATTTTAATACAGTTAAGACGGTGTTTTACAAATTGCGTCATGTGCATAAAAAAGGGGGGCTTGGCGCCATAAATTAACATGAAACTTATTACCCTTCCGGACCACTTGAGTTAACCCCCAGTTATTGATTGGGTTCGTGGTTTTAAATCTTTAGTTATTTATGTAAAGTTTTGTAATTATATTTGTATTTTCGTCGTTTTTTTATGACGCATCATGCGTTGTCTGTTTTATTCGGCCCATGACCATTGTTATATCTGTTTCTTTTTTGAAAGTTGTAAGAATTTTTTTAAAACATAAAATCTACAAAAATAATACGAACCGCTCTTCAGCTTTGAAATTTTAAATTTACAACCAATTTCGACGATGCCGGTCTTTTTTGTCGATTGTTTACATAGTGACTTATACCTTATATTTTGAATTTAATGAATAAAAACAAAAAAGAGGTATATTGCAGCCTAAAGAAAACCCACAAAAGTCTGATTTATGCCAATTGATATTATATTCTTTATGTCTTCGGTTACAAAGTTATTTTATTCAAATTCACATTTAGTTATAATGTATAGGCTGTAAGGTTATATTTGAAATACTTCAAATGGCGCAATTTAATTGTTAATTCGTAAAATAAATAAACAGTACAAGTGAACTTCATTTATTTATCAAAATAAAACCGCTGTAATCGACTAGTAAGATAAACTCATTTATTAGGTAAACAAGAAATGGAATGTAAATACAATCTGCATAAACGGGGTTAATTATTGAACACACAATGAAATTTGATACATGTATTGTTTGAAATAAAGTCAAATATGATCAAATATCGATCGAGTTTGATTCCATAGTACGGGCCGATTCAATGAATTAAAATGTCATTAAGGCTTGAAATTTTTGAACTTTTGTTTTATTAAGTATGTCGATATAAGTATGTAATATGTATCTAAAATGAATACTCCATTTTAATAGAAGTTTAACAGATTTGGTTTTTATTATACTTTTGCTTCGTCATAATATCATATTGATTTGTCTATTGTAACTAGTATATCATAGTGTTTCTCAAATTATGTAAATGTTAAAAAAAATCAACACATTGCGTAATGATGAACGTAATTTCCGGAAGTCGGATGTTGGAATTTACGGAAGCCTTTTAGGGCCATGCTATTTACTTTTTCCAATTTGATATAGCAAATTATCAATTTGATATAGCAAATTATCAATTTGATATAACAGATTGTCAATTTGATACAACAGATTATCAATTTGATATAACAAATTATTAATATGATATAACAAGTTATCAATTTGATATAATAATAATAATAATAATAATAATAATAATAATAATAATAATAATATCCTTATTTAGAGATAGTAACTTATTTGGATTACACCAATTTTCAGTAAGGCTCTCTTAATACAATAATATTTACATTAAAAAATAAACAATACAAATTCAATAATAATGATAAATAAAGATGCAATATATACAATTCAAATACAATAAACAATTATTATATGGCATTACAGTACAAATATCATGGTAATGTTAAAAGTACATAGATTTGTAGTTATGTTTAAATTTTAAAACTGTGTTTGAATTTTTAATTGTATAAGGAAGAGCATTCCATACTTTTGGTCCACTGTCCGAGAACAACTCTGTATTTGGTTTTGGAATTTTAAAATTATCTGAAGACGAAAATCTCGTATTGTATTTTTGGTTTGCAAAAGCTGATAAAATAAGACTGGAAAAATTATCATATACTTATAGAAAATAACGGTATAATTGTACCCCATGATAAAACTAATTTGTACATATGTTTATTCGTTAAATGTGAAGCCGTGTGATATGACTTTTGTTATCAACTGCTTCCGATTATTATCGCATGCCTTTCTGATATATCGACGTCATTCGGCATTTTCCGGAAAATTATGGGTAACTCTTGTGCTCTAAACTTACTTCGCCGAAATGTTCCTGAACATGCTGAAATAAGCATCCTCCTTTTTATATCAAAATTTGATAAATCGACAATATCTATAATGTCACTTCAATGACATCGAATTCAAATTGCATGCTAAACAATAATCGAATATTTGTATTTACATAAAGGCCTAATTTAGTTAGTTTAAATACTTTTTGTTTACCCTTAAAATTACAAGATATAAAAATAAGAAGATGTGGTAAAATTGGCAGTGAGACAACTCTCTACCAGAGACCCAATGACACAGAAGTTAACAACTATAGGTCACCGTACGACCTTCGACAATGAGCAAAATCCATACCGCAAAGTCAGTATTTATTATATTTTCAGTCAATTTACAGGACCAAAGAAGCCACAAAATATACATGTATCTTGTTTTTTAATGAATTTTCATTTCCTAAAGTAGTTATAGTCTGGGATTGTCACCCCCTATTTATTTCCCCCTTTTAATCCAGAATACAAACAATGGTAGAATAGGATTTTCCTTTAAACAATTCTGAAAATATTTTCTAACTTTATTTTTGAGGAATCTTACGCTACATACATGAAATATTGTTCGGAGAATCTTTAGCGTTACTTATTTGCATTATTATTCAATAAAGAAAATGCATTGAGTTGAAGATTCTACGAATACGGTAGGTTTTGCCATTATGATAAAAGAAATTTAGCAAGAATAAGCAATAAACATAATTTGAAATATATACCGATAAACAGGAATCTCCTATCGCGTGGTTTGACGCAAAGGACAATGTTTTTCGACGTGTATTGTTACAATACAATATGTGCAAGTCCTTGTCCGTTTGACTACGCTTTAAAAACAAAATGAAAGAGAGAAGAATGATCTCAAACAAAGCACTCTCTCATGTGAATAATCAAAAACATAGGTACACGCGTATATAAGCAGATAGAAATATTAAAAAGTTCATTTATATGTATATGTACATAAGTAATACAACTTTGTTATTACACATGTAAAGCGACGACCGATGAAATTGCAAATCTCTCAATTATTGGTTCGAGATAACGTCGTATTTTCATTTATAATTATCAACGTCTCTCTGAACTGAACTATTATCCGCGGGATTAAATTAGATTGGATTTGTGTGTTTGTAGGTTATGGAACTTTATTAAGTGTGACAATTTGTATCATTTAAGATAACTTGAAAGAATATACATGTATGAAGACTAGAGGGATTGAAGCTTTCGAAAATTACTAGACGAAAGAAGAAAAAAACAACAGAAAAATTTAACAAAACACGTGTAACAAAACAAGTTGACATTAAGAAAAGGACAAAACTTTTTCTTTGTACGAGGAAAGAAAAGACTAATGTCATGTCCATTGAGAACTTTGCTGCAAAATGGCGGCTCCAGACTTACGGGAGTGAAGTGAAAACTGTTGCAGACTACATTGCACTCCGACGTCGGATGGGTCGTCTAAGGGTAACAACTCATAAACCTGTTGATGACGAAGACGACGGTAAGTTATTCACATATTTAGTGCCATATTATTACGCAAATATAACTCAAAATAACCTTGTTTAATGCCCCACCTACGATAGTAAGGATGCATTATGTTTTCCGGTATGTGCGTCCGTCTGGCTGTCTGTCCGGTAGCCCAGGTTAAAAGTTTTTTACACATGTTTATTTTAGAAAAAAGGCGAAAGATACCAAAGGGATATTCAAACTCATAAGTTGAAAACAAACTGACAGTACCATGGCAAGAAACGAAAAACAACGAAAGTACAAACAACAGTACACAAAACACATCATAGAAAACTATAACCGACTTTTTTATGTGAATCTTTTTAAAAATATATGTCAAACTAGGGTTTTGACCCAGATTTTACAGATCACTGAACATGGAAATTAATGTGATTGTACGAGAAGACACATATTATTCTTAATCAAACTAGAAGCGTGTTTCAAGACGTCGATGTCAGTTGCTGTTGCTGATTCTTTTCATCCCTTCCTATACATGGGCACATGACGTATTCATTTAAAATGAATATTGATGTGTTCCGAACAATACAATATCTACGTATATTGAGCGGATTCAACAACTGCATGATATGAACATATATAAATTCATGTCTTGTTTGTTATTGTTGTTATGTATTATGTATTATGTAATGTGCTATTTTTTTAATGTTCATGTTCATGTGAATACAGTTAGTACATATGCACTTGCAAAATCATCATAAAACACAAAGTATATTTAGCTAACTTGCTTCAGTGAATTTAGACACTCATTGAAAAAAAAAGGTTTTGTCTTATTTGTTTCGGTGGTATTGCTGATTACGCTTACCGATAGTATAAATAGTGTTAAATACGTTTTCTGAACTGTTCATTTTTTGTACCTGCTATTGTTTACATTTTGTAATTGCAATTGTCGAGTTAAAAGAAGAGTGGGGGAGTGCTCATAGTGTTAATTTAACATTGCCGCATGTCGATGTCTGTTGAAAATCAAGATCATTTTCAACGCATTTCTATTATTATAGAATCATGTCTCAAGGAATTTGGCGTTGATAACAGATCTTACATAGATTATTTTAACTGCATCACAATTGATCTTTGCTAACATGAATTTAAAGATTAAATCGCTGTGTATAACTTGTCTTGTTGGTTTAAACCGTATATTGTTCTCCACGTATCTTTTGATTTCTTTTGCTCGGTGGTGTTTTCTTAATGACGTATACCCACATCTGATTCCAAATCAACTGAAAAAAAGTCTTTAGTTTGTCTCATTTGTGTTTGTCTTACTTTCCTGAATAACACAAACTTTCAATTCCCCGATTTCAAAGTATATTGAAAAATTGAATTAATAGAGGAGAGCGATTTTTTTCGTGCTGTTGTTGATAATTCTCTCCGTATATTTTATCATTTTCCACTAAAATAAACACACTTTAATGTCGTAAAATGTGACGTACCAAATAAGAGTTGTCTAATCTCGTAAAGCTTGTTTTTAGTTTGGCTTTCGGACAGTTCGTCAAATGGTTTATTTATTTTTTTTCAACGGTTTGTCCTATGGTTATTTTGATATATGTCTTTTAAAAGGTTTGATTCTTGATTAGGGTTGTTTAAGAAAACGGGTTGTAGCAGGTATACTACCTTTTTATTTCTAACAGCTGTTCTTTGTAGATTCTGATAGATTAATATGTTCCGCGGTAAATTATAAATCAAACGTATCGTATTCAAATATAAAGAAAGGTGTCGGCGTGTTTTATATGATATCTATTGGAAGTGGGGGAAATATCGATTAATAATTTTCATCTGAAATACAAAGCAATTACTGTGAATCAGAAGTCTATACTAAACATAACTTTATATAATTTAACATAAATCAGAGTTTCTGACCGAAATTATTAATTCAATCTAAAAAAAATGCCAGAAGACATGAAATATTCAAGAAAATATAAACGTCCATTATGTCTACTTAACTGCGAATTAAACCTCTTTCCAGCGATTGAGATACTAGGCAAACTTGAAAGAGAAATGTTATGAGTCTGCCTAGCATTGTGCAGTATACGTAATTTTTTCTTTATTTTCATTTTGGGTTTACTTTAAACATATAGAATCGAAAGCAAGATGTCTTAAGTTGTAAATTGAAGTGGCATTTACATGAACGAATTTACTTATTTTTTTATTGGTTCATAGGTGTTTCTCGTTTCTTATATAGATAAGACCGTTGGTTTTCCTGTTTGAATTGTTTTACACTAGTCATTTTAGGACTCTTTATAGCTTGCTGGTCGGTGTGAGGCACGGCTTCGTGTTGAAGGCCGTACTTTGACCTATAATTGTTTACTTTTTACATATTGTGACTAGGATGGAGAGTTGTCTCATTGGCACTCATACCACATTTTCTTATTTCTATTTACACGACATTTATTTTACGCTTTACGATCAAGCATTAGTGAAACAGAAAAAAAATCAACTTTAAACAATTATGATCTGTTGTATTGTTTTGGCACTTTATATCTTCATTAAATTATGCAAATCCTTTTGAACAAGTTTTGTATCTCGTTTGTGTAAATATTTATGTTATCATATATGAAACATGTTACACTACCCATCATACATGTTATATTGTATTGATAAAGTTTTATTGGTATCAGCTGATTATTGAACATCTGGACTTTTAGATGCCTGTCCTTACAGTCTGAAAGGTAATTTTGTCTATATTTATGATTTGTAATAATTGTAATGATTTAGTTCCCTTTCTATATTCTACAATCGTCTGTACCCAATGTCGTATTAACATCAGCTTCAAAACTTTTTGTTTTCCTGTGTTTAAAGCTTAGCACTTTGATGTAACGTAGTTATACGTTTTACTTAATAAAATCATAATAATATTATACTGATGGGCATGATATAATAAAACTTCGCTATATACTAGAATATTTTTTAAGTATGCCAAACGCGTTTTTTTATCACAAGCTGTTGAGCAGTATTGCTCGTAACAAACATTTAGAAGGTCATTTCAATGACGCAGTTTTAGAGCATTGATAACAAAGATATATACAATGGGTTGCTGGCAACTCATATACCCCAGTAAACTTGGGATTCTTCCGAAACAAGATGATCTGTTTCATATCTCGGTCTTTTATTTGATATTGACACAGATGGACGACATAAAATAAGCACCTATGACAAACGTGTTGATTTCATTTTTCTTTAGACTGAGCAACACGAATTTCACCAAAAACCGGGGGTGATCCCAGGTGCTCCGGAAGGGTAAGCAGAGACTGTTGATAAATTATGAAATTAAGAAACTAAGGTTGCAACTCCATTTGGGAAAGTTGACTCTAATCAACAAACAAAAAATTATATACATGCCTTCATCTTTAAAACTTGATTTTTTTAACCCGTCGCCAAATGGTACGTAGGTTGCTGATTTTATATAGTCAGATCTTAAAAAGTCACAAAATAAGTGAAGGTATCTAAGCATAAAATTTTTTATGATGTCTAAGCTTGAGGGTCATTCAGTCACAAAAGCAGTCAAATTTATTAAGTAAAGAATTTGATGAAGAAATAATACTTGATTGGTTGATTGACTGATTGTTTGACCTTGAAGAGTTAACGAGGTATAAATGTATAGTTTAAGTATATTTCAATATAAATTAATCACATACCACATCAGTTTCCTTTTAACACTAAATAAACTTTAAAGATATGATATCAATATTTAATTGTTAAGACAGATCATAACTTAACAAGCAATATATTTCTGCCAACACTGTAGTCGAATTGAACGTGCACCGCAGCATACATTTGTAAGACATTGTGGTTGAAAATTGCAATTTGTTCTAATTTTTTAACACATTTTTGGCATTTTGTCTAAATCTTCCTATTTTCCATGACCTATAAACTTTTTATGAATAAATTTTTCTTTAGTCAAGACAAAACTACAAAAAAAAATATTTTTGAAAATATCTTTTATCTTTTTATTGAATGCAACGAATACTGGAGGCCATCATACCTTTTTTTGTACAAAATGCACCCCCTTTTCTCCAGACAAGTGTTGCAGACGGATTAAAAGCAAGCGTTCACATTTTTACATGGTCCCCAAATTTAATCAATTTCTATTATATCGGTTGACAAATGAACTTTGGACTTTATACTTCCAGTCTCTACAGTCGTAAAGGTAATTTATATAGTTTTATAACTATTTTCTTCACTTTATGAACCTGTATCTTCCTGGCATCGTCCATTAGTCAGGGAATGAAGTCTATATGAAGCCTCGACATAACAATGGAAAACAAATGAATGTGTTTTCGCTTTTCAAATTACTTTGAGTAGAAACCCGTTCACCTGTTGAAATTGTAAGGCCTAGCAGCGGCTAAATATATAAAAATCAAAGGCGGCTCGTTTTCACATTCAGTAACACTGTTAAAATTATCAATTGTTGCATATATAAATATTGTTCTTCTATTGTTTGCGCAATCAATAAAACACAAATCAACTGATACCCGAGGGGAAATCTCAAAGGTTATTTTGATAACTTCTGCAGGAACGAAAAATCCAGTAAAGTGTTCAACTTTCTAAAACACAAATGTATTTGCCTTTAATATATCTTAGTGTTGCTAGGGTTAAAAATCTATTGTTCTTCTTTTGTTTATATCAATCAATAAAATACAACGCAACTGATACACGAGGGAAAATCTCAAAGGTTATGTTGATAACTTCTGCAGGAACTTTTTGAAACACAAAATGTATTTGCCTTTAATATATTTTATTGTTGCTAGGGTTAAAAACTTAGCTTGCACGGGTTGGTCTGTACACATACACAGAGTTAGTTATGTGGGATATGGAACTTTATTTGTCAAATATATGAGATGAGATGAACCTCAATATCAGTAATGTGTTGACTGATAAATGGGCTGTTTTCTGCTCTTTGGTCGGGTTGTTGTCTCTTTGACACATTCTCCGTTTCCATTCTCAATTTTATAACTGAAATCAATGTAATTTCACGTTTAAGAACAGGTCATTTTTACTTGAGGACGATTGAATGAGAAATGATCAAAGTTACGGAATTATTTTTGTTATTTATCTATCTCTGTTTTATATAATTTAAATCAAATTTTTCTTAGTGTCATTATTTACAGCGCAAGACATAAGATTTAAAAGCGAACACCCGTTTCAATAGACGATTTTAATATTACCAATTTTTGACACTGGAGTATATAATTTTATGACAGGTTACCTACTCTGTGGTATAACATTCTGATACTCGACAAAGTAAGAACAAATCTCAGAAGTAAAATAATTATGGGAAAATGAATTGTGTTCCGATGCTTTTGTCGTGTATAGAAATGGTATATAAGGTATATAAGGTTTGAACTTGAAGCATATGTGAATAAAATCACTTCAAACATCAGGCGTACAAGTGTCGTTTCGAACAACATATAAAATGTCAAACCTTAGGGGAAATAATTGTTACACAAATTATTAAAATCCAAAGTCAGAACTATAGCATAAGGACACTTATGTCCAACCTAAGGGGAAATAATTGTTACACAAATTATAAAATCAAAATTCAAAGTCAATAATATGAAAATTACTTATTTAATAGACCTATCATTGATGATCGCTTTTGATTTGAGCTATTACAATTTAGGAATATATACTGTGTGTGTGTCCCTGAATACACTTTTAATTGCTCAATTCAGCGCAATTTTTCAATTTAAACATTGAAACTTTGAATAATATTCATAGAGATATTTTTGTTTTAAAATGTGAGTTAATCTATGCATTGCAGCTCTATATTATCTTAGTGTGAAATCTTTTAATCCCCCTAGCTCAAGCTGGACAGGGATTTTTTTCAAGTGAAAGGACCATTTTAATCCGGATTTGACTCCATTTACAGTTATGTATGTATGTTACAAAGTCTGTATACATATGGTCTACGGTAAGGAAGAAAGTCCATGAAAACTAACAAAACCAAAACCACTCGACTCTACAAACAAACGGAACGACTGGATAAACTGTCATGTTTTGTACCTAGTACAGACATTTCCAGAAGACAATGGTGAATGAAACCTGGTTTTATAGCTAGCTTAATTTCTATCTTGTATGAAAGTGGTAATATTTTATTAATTTACCACAACTTGTCCTGAAAGATAAAAATATAAGACATTATTGACCCATGATTTACAGTCATTCGCATCAAATAATTTCTGTGAAATTTCTTTGATTTTTTTTAAAAGAATTTATCGTCTGTATTTTAGATGGCTGTCTCAGATGTTATACTGTGTGGGATCTGTGATGCCCAGCATGTTTCTAACGGTGCTGATTACTGGTGCCCTGAATGTGATGAAGGTCTGTGTTCGCCCTGTAAAAATTATCATGGCGTTTCAAAAGCATCGAGGCAACATGGAATTATTTCTACCGACGACTACAAGAAACTTCCGGCTGAGATATGTAAAATTGAACAGAACTGTACAGAGCACGACAAGAAATTCAAAATGTTTTGTCCAGGTCATGATAAACTTTGTTGTATAATTTGCATATCCGAAAAACACAAAGAATGCACTGGAATGTTTCTAATTGACGAAGCCATTAAGTCATCAAGATCTTCCACTTTTTTTGGCAGCTTGGAGATGTCTCTGAAAGATATTCAAGAAAACATTGAAAGAGTATTAAAAGACAGGAAAGCCAATCTTGTGGAAGTAAAACAACAGCATTTTAAAAGTTTAAAGGATATAAAAGAAACAAGACAAAAATTAAATTCCCGCTTAGATGAATTAGAGAAAAACATAAAAGACGATTTGAATTCAACTGAAACACAACTTAAACTCAAAATTGAAACCCTCCTTAATAAGTTATCCACAAAACTAAAAACAATTGAGCTTTTGAAGACAAATCTTATGTCCGTCAAACAACTAGGATCCGATCTGCAGGCTTTCATTGGCAGCAAAATGTTAGAAAAAGACGTCACTAAGGAGTTAAATTACGTACAAAACATATCAGAAGAGGATGGATTTAGCCAACTTGGTTTAAAGTGCCGGCTAGGCGTTGAGATCACAGAAATTTTATCCAAGGTTATTGCGTTCGGATCCATAACAATTGAAAAAAGCCCATCGTCAACTATTATTAGCGTAGACAAAGAAAAGCAGGCTCAGATTTTCACAGTTGTGCCACCTCGTATTAGATCGGTTGATGATATTACTGCTTCTTTGATAGCCGATTTCAAGGTTCCAGTAGAAAAAAGAAATCAATTCGTAACAGGTTCATCTGTCTTTCCTGATGGAAGGATGATATTTTCGGACTGCTTTACTCATAACAGATTAGTTATCGTACATAGTAATGTAATTTTAGGTACTGAAATATCTCTTTCACCTCTAACTCCGTTTGATGTGACATGCATCGACGACAATACTGTAGCAGTTACAACGTATGACAACGATGAAATTATAGTTGTGGACACAAAGAACAAACAAGTTACCAAAACAATCAAAACAGGAGCTTGTCGAGGTATAACGTACAGACACGGGCAGATTATATACTGTGAAAAAGGGAAAGGGATCGTAGCGATACAACTGTCAAACTATAAAGTATGTACACTAGTGGAAGATTGCACCATGGAAAATGATTTGAGTTATATTAAAACCGTTGAAAAGAACATTTATTATACAGGTAATGCCAATACAGTCAAATGTTACAGTATAAAGGGAGAAAAACTTTGGGAATACAAAAACGAGTCATTTCTGTTAAGTCCTTGTGGTATAGCTGTTGATCAATGCGGCATCATTTACGTTATTTCAAATGATAATACAAGTGCCGTTTTGATATCACCAGATGGCAAAAATGGCAGAACATTACTAGCTGCAAGAGATGGAATAGGTCCATCATACGGAATTAATTTTTTACATAAAAACAAATTGAATGTTATAAGTCATAGTGGACGTGTCCTCCAATTTGATATTGCATAATGTATTGTCAAAGAATTCTAAGTAGGAAGTTAGTTTTCATTGTTCATGAAAAATGTTTAGTTCATAGATTTAGTGATATTGAGGAATTGATTAATGGGTCAATTTTATATTGTTTGATATGTGTATGATATTGCTTTCTCGAAACCTTATAGAAACATTGAAGAGCTGACTGACAAAACTGAATAAGACCGAAAGTAATGCAAAACCCGGACAAGCTATGCAGACTAGAGATACATTCTTCAATTCAAAATGATATTCAAATGTAATAACAACAACTTTAAAGCAATTGTCAATTTCAAAATTCTAATAAGGATTGTTATTGTTTTTATCATATTAAAATGAAAAACGTATGTGTAGCATAAGCATGAATTATATAATGAGATTGCATGTGATGAGTCGAAGTTAAGGAAGTATTGATTTAGCATCAATATTTTTTGGGCTTCCATTCATATATGTAATATGGTTGCTTCATAATCTGTATTCACCAGTCAGCAAAAAGAGATTTACGTTTAATACTTAACATATACAATGACGTGTAAAAGTAATAGATGTGGTAAGAGTGCATACATGGCATATATAGTTGTCTTTCAGCTATCAATTTAAAAAAATAAACCAACAAACAAACAACAAACAACAAAAAAACAAACAAACATACAAAAAAAAAACAAAGATACAAGCAAACAAACATACAACGATTAATAATGAATAGAAATTTGAACAATAAACGATCAAACAAAAAACGACAAATAGACAACCAACAATTCACAAAACACAACACAAAACTGGAGACCTAGCACCTTCAACCCCACCAAATCTAAAAAAAAATGGGTGATCCTTCCCTTAATAATTCACCCGTTGTGTTGCTTTAGTTATCGAAAGAGGTCGGTAGAGTAGAGTATTTGTTTATTACGAAATCCAGGGGTTGAAGATGAATTTCAATTTATCATTACACGTATTACGCTAAAGAAGTACAGGAAAAGATATTGCTAAAATAGTATTTCTGTAGTATTCTCTTTTTTTGGTTCATTTAAATTGAGAAAATGAAAATTATAGTAAGCAGTAATGACGTAGATAGATACTGAGTACCAATAAAAACTCAACACGTCATATTCCTGTTCTTCTTGTGTCCTTTTTAATTACAATATGGTATTCTCAAACATTTTGCTACATGTTACTTTTACATCCTGGTCATGCATCGAAACTTGCGACTAGTTCCGTGGGGATCAAATTCAAAACTCATAAATTTAGTCCAATTGCCATCCCCTAAAAACAATGCATACAAAAATTGTGTATCTGCATTGCTCTACCTTTGCTATAGCGGTTACAGTTTGCCAACCAAAGCTTAAATTTGATTTTTTGGGATAAAAATGTTGAATTTGTAAACTTTGAAATCGTACAAAACAAAACCTCTGAAAATCGTTCTGTTGGGTTATCTAGGTGTCTTCAAAGACTGCGGATGGTCAAATTCCAAAGAAGATCTGTCATTTTACTTATGTTATCATAACGAGTTTCTGGAGATCATAACGTCAAGGAAGTTATTGAAATAATGCATGAATATATACTAAATTCTGTCTTCTATGCATGTTTTTTTATAAATTATTTTGAGTCCATAACGGTAATCGACAAGAAAATATTTGATTCGGCGATTGTTGATCGAATATTGTGTCTGCTAATTAACGTTCGGGTTTTTGTGTTGACACACATATTATTGGTACGTTCGTAATTAATCGGTTCGTAACCAAACCAAGCATTCCGGCTATTAGTGTATAACATACCAATACCTTTTTAATTGTTGTAAAGTTACAACGTAATCGTACCCAGTACCTATGCATTCTATTTTGAGATGACATTGACAGACATTGGATGTAACCCGGTTCAAAGATATTGTGCATTGAATTGTAGGCAGTTATTGGACAATTAAGCTAATTAAAAAGTCTTTCCGGCCACCAGTTACTCTTACCATGTTCCAGTTATGTAAAAATGTAGTTATATCCATGCTAGTGACCTGTCGAGAATGCATTACATAGATTATTTGCATAAAGCTTTTTATTTCAGAGGATAGAAGACCTGGATGATTCAAAAGAGGATTAGGAAGGAGGGGGAAACAGGAGGGCCGGCCCCTTATGGAACTTCATATATAATAAATGTATAGACTCTTTACAAGTATCACTCTAAACTTTGAAAAATCCTTGATCCGCAACTAGGATTCATACTTTGTATAAAGATGCCTTGTGTTACAAAGTTTCCTTTTGTCATATGTCCATTGTCCTTGACCACAATATCATGGTTCAACGACTGATTAAAATGTATAATTTAATTATCATTTGAATTTTTCATTTATTATGTGTACTTTGAAAATATGTCCTCTTGAAAAGTTTTACCTGACCTTGACCTCATTTCGTTGATTAGTGGTCAAAGTTAAAATAACATGATGAGGTCCGTTTTTCAGATACTATAAGCAGTATGTCAACTATATGTGGTGTATGGAATGATTGCAAGGTGTAAATGTCAGTCTGGAAGGGCTCATCTGACCTTGCCCTCATTTTCATTATTCATTTGTCAATGTAATGTTTTTTGGTTTTGTTTTCCTCAAATACTAAAAGAAACAGGTCAACTATATTTAGTGAATGGAATGAATTATAAGTGTACATGTCTTTCTGATATATATCATCTGACCTTGACCGCATTTTCATGGTTTATTGGTCAATGTTAAGTTCTGTAGTTTGGTCCTCTTCTTAGATACTATCAGTAAATAGTTGAACTATATTTGGTTTATGGAATGATTGTAACGTATACATGAATGTCGGGCAGGGTTCACCTGATATTGACATCATTTTAATGATTCATTGGTCAATGTATAGTTTTCCTGGTTAAATCCACCATTTTCTACATAAGAAAATGCCTGTACCAAGTCAGGAATATGACAGTTGTTATCCATTCGTTTGATGTGTTTGAGCTTTTTATTTTGCCATTTGATAAGGGATTTTTTTTTTAAATTTTCCTCGGAGTTCAGTATTTTTGTGATTTTACTTTTTTCTTAGATACTATAAGCAAAAGGTCAACAACATTAGGCGCATGGAATAATTTTAACAGGATCATCTGTTTTTCCCTGACAAGAGGTTTATCTTTTCAGATTGCTATTATAATCACAGATTAATTTTCGTGGATTGATGGAACTTTTGTTACAGAAATACTTCTTTCACCTCTACCACCGTTTGATGTTACATGCATCGATGACAAAACGGTAGCTGTTACAACGTTTTCTGACACCAAAATACTGATTGTAGACACAGAGAACAAACAAATTACCAATACAATCAAAACAGGCAGATAATGCGGCATTACACACATAGATGGACAGATATTATACTGTGAAACAGGAGAAGGGATCAAAGCGATAAAGCTGTCAAACAAGAGAGCATCTACTTTAGTTTGCGATGACAGCATACTTAATGAATACAGTGACATTACTACCGCGGACAAAAATATTTATTATACGGGTCAAGATGCAGTCAAATGTTACACATGTGGAGCAGGATCTGCTTACCCTTCCGGAGCACTTGAGATCAACCCCAGTTTTCGGTGCGGGTTCGTGTTGCTTAGTCTTTAGTTTTCTATGTTGTGTCATCTGTTTGTCTTTTTATTTTTGGCCATGGCGTTGTCAGTTTGTTTTCGATCTATGATTTTGACTGTCCCTCTGGTATCTTTCGTCCCTCTTTTACAACTTAGGGGGAGAAAAGCTGTGGGAATACAAACACCAATCAATTCTAATTCGCCCAGGTGGAAGATCTGTTGATCAATGCGGCATGGTTTACGTGACTTCAGATACTTATAGATGTGTTGTGTTGTTGTCTTCAGACGGCAAACATGGCAAGAAATTACTTGCTCGACAAGATGTAATTGTAGAATCATTAGTAGTTAATATGCGTACCAACAAGTTAACTGTAGTACATTATAAAGGGAACATACTTCATTTTCACATTGAATAATATAAAATCAAATTGTTTATGAATGGGAGCTTATGTCGTTCATGAAAAAGTTGTTACTAAGTATGTCATGATTTCAAACTAGACATTTTACCAATTAATATGAAATTTGTAGTTCAGTTTATAATTTCGTAGATTAAGAAAACATCGATTATAATTTTGAATATTTTTTAATGGGCCAAATCTTACCTAATGAAAAGTGCACAGAAAGAAAGAAACACATTGATTTTTTTCAACATTTCACTTCCTTCATCAACAAAAAGATTAAACTAACAGATATTACAAGCTTTAATTTGGTATATCGAAATAAATAAATAATTTAAAGTCCCGCCGAAAAAGACTGCTGAATTTCCAAAACGTGTGACGTCCTGACAACCATTTTGTTCCATACGGCATTAGTAAAACACAATTCGTTTATTCAACAGTTTAACAGAACAATTTCTTGGAGAGGAAATCAGATAAATATAACTTATGTTCTAAATTCAAACCAATATATTAGACAGAGGAAATTAAGTCGTAATTATGTAGCCGTGTCAATATCTGAAAGTCATCATATCAGTCAGTTTATCGAGTCTTAACTCTGAAAGAATGTTCAACAATGCTGATAACCAAAGAATGATCATGTTACATGTATACGTACCAATTCGTCCAACAAATTATGACGGTCATAAATGCATTACACAAATCTAAAGTAACGAAAATCTAAATTTACTACGGCGTTATGGAAACATAAAAATTGGGAAGGAGCCTGTGATGTAGAAAAGTACTTTTTTTATGGCTCAAGAGTGCGGAAAATTGAAAATTGAAAATATATCTCGTCTGTACAACTATCATAAATTTGATAATAGAGTATATACATTTCGACAATTTAAAATATAGAAGCCAGTCCTTTCGTTTTGTGTCATCATTATACATATATATATTCCTGTTTCGATGAATTCTTCAAGGTTTGCTGACCGTTGAACTAGGAAGATACAATGTGTAACGACAGTTGCTGCAGGTCTTAATCTTCATATAGGAAGTTATCGCTCAGGTCGCAGACAGAATAAACACGACACTTTAAAATGTAAGCTTCATGTCATCAGCAACATTTGAAGAATATTTATATAAAGTATATCTAAGGTGATTACTTATTTCAAGCTTGTGTTTTCAAGTAGGGTTATTGGTAAAAGAGTTAGATTAATGGTTCTACGTGGAATCCTCATGACCGTTAAGAGATATATATTTGCCACTGATGCCCCAGGATATGATCGGTGTTTTCTCGATCTTAACCCCTGTTCTCTATCCTCTTGAATCATTTCAACCAATATATGACTAATTTCCATGTTTTCAACAGGAATTGATCTGAGTTCTG